CCATGCCGCACCGCAGGGGCGGCCGCAGCCCTTACTGCTTCTTCGTGAGCGAACAGCTGCCCCAGCTGCAGCGCCGCGGGCTGCCCGTCACCTGTGTCATCGACGCCATCCCCTACTGCTCGCAGGCTTGGGCGGTGAGGGGAACGGCCTCGAGTTAATGGGGGGAGCCCGCGGAGCGGTCCTGCCCCGGCTCTGGTGCGCGGCGAGCGTGGGTTAAGTAGTTGTTCACCTGCCTCTTGCTGGTGCGGAACCGGCACCCACCCCGTCAGGTGGGGCTGTGTGGTGGTGTCGCGGTGCAGGTTGTCCGGGGGACAAAATGGCCTTTCTTGGAGGGTAAACTCAGCTCTCCTCCCCTCTCCTCAATTGCAGGGGTGCGGGGGGAAGCACAGCTTTGTGTTGTGTGCGATAGGAACCGGCATCCCTGGCTGGGAAGAGGAGTTTGAGAGGAGCTCTTGGTTGTGGTGGAGCAGTGATAGTTTGCCCTCGCCTGAAAATGCTTCAAAAGCGTGTGCTTGCTAGGTGTTCAAACTGAAGCGTATGGCTTTGTTAGGGAGAGAGCTACTACTCACCGCTGGTTGAGTCAGTCGTTGGTAGTTCTTGCCAAGTATAGATAATGCCCTTTGGAAATACAAATTAATTTCTTACATGGAATTTTTTTGGTTTGTGGGACTGCTAAAAGGAAGCAGTAAAACCTCTTTTGCCAATTTGTTTTCCTTGAAGATGCTGACTAAGGAAGAAAAGATGGTATATACAGAGAAGGCTCGTAAGTTGAATGGGAAGAAATGCTCTCAGAAGACAGTGAAAGAGGTAAATGCTGAAAAAAGAACCCCCTGCAATGTAGTTTAGTAAGAGGGGGAGTAAGTGGTGTTGGGGTTTGGTCAGCTATGGTGCTATGGGAAATCGCCTGCTCTCCATAGCCTTCAGTCTCTGGAGGTTATGGCTGCTGGTGGTAGTCCATACCATTATGAAGGTTATGCAGAAAAATGCTCTGGTTTGGCGGAGATGGTAATCTGGAGTTAGCGTACCTAGATGTGGATGTTACTCCCAGTTGTGGTCTGGAATGATTGAACTCTGTGAGCCTGTCGGGTGTCTCTTCCTGTCCTCTTAAAAGCTGATTGTTCATATATGGATTTGCAATGCCTAATGGGTATATATGCCCCTCATACTTGCTCTGTGCTGGAGCAATCTGATGACTTCCTCTGGGTTTTGTCAGCTTTCCATTGGCTTGATTCCTAGCCGAAGACAACTTGCGTGTGCCAAAGTTTTTCATAAATCTTATGGGAAAAATTTTGAAATTCAAATTTGAAAAGTCCCTTGACTGTGACAAGTGGTTGAACCAACAAAATCTCCCTTTTCTTCCCCCCCTCCACACACACACACACACACACCCCAGTTACATTTTTCTTTCCAGTTGGAGTGGAGTGACCAAGGTACTAAGACACCTATGTCAGTTTTTGTTAGATGAGAAATCTTACTTTCCTGGTCTGTAGCTTATATATAAGACCATTCCACTTAATCATAACTGTTAGTGGATGTTATATTTTCCTCTCATGTAGGAAGGTGAAGGACTTTATGGGGTGTTAGTGGTCTTGATTATTTATTTATTTATTAACTTTTCCATCTTTTCCAGACATGTAATCTGGCTCCTCCAGTTCCTGCTTGTCCCACCACAAAGATGCCCTGTGTTACTTTTCCAGTTGCCTCTGTTATGTCTTGGAAGAATGATCAGGGTATAGTAATCTTAAAGCAGTTAATCTTTAAGCAGTTAAACCTTGGCCTTTGTAGGTATTCTCAGTGGTACCTATACAAAGGCTGTTTACGTTTTGCCAGTAACTGTGTCAGCTGTGTGTTTTAAACTAATGGTCTACTGTTGTAAAAAGGTCTTCTTTAGTATTGAGGGAAATCAGTGCAAATAAATATGTCTGTCCCTGCTCCACCTTCAACTCCTGAAATAATTCTAGCCTCTGTTTTTCAGCTTGATGGGGAGTATAGCCACTAATAGTTTCTTCACAATTATTTAAAGGCTTTTAAGAAAAATGTAGTTCTTCAACTCCTATGTTTATTACTTACAAAGCCTAATCCTGTACCTATTGTACGACCTGTACCTATACTTGTACCTGTATTAAAGGGTGAAGAGTTGTTAGATACCAGAGTTCAAAACTTGTATGGTAGAGCTATTAAATAGAATCATGACCCGGCCTCTTTGGGAGACTAGAAGAGGGGATATGTACTTTGTCAGTGCTTATAGAACATCCTGGCTTGCTTCCTTATTGAAAGAACTTGTGAAAACTAAACCTTTCTTATCTGTTACCCTCTTTCCAAATGGATGTTTTAATTAGAATTGAGTAATGAACATATCTGTAGTCTTTTCCCCAATTAATACTACATTAGTCTGAAAAATGATAAATGGTAATGCTTACAAGGTAGGTCAAACAGCCACTTGTATCTGCTGGGTGGTTGAGACTCAGCTCAAGCCTTTTACTCAGTAAGTCTATGAACTGTCTTCATTTTGTCATGGTTATGGAGGGGCATGAAAGAGTAGTTCCATAAAAAGTATAGTACATGTTAGCAGCCTCCCTGCCAGAGGTCATGCTCCCTTGTCACTGGGATGCAGATTAGATCAGGTTGGTCATGGCATGAGCTGGCACAGTTGGTCTTTAAAACTGAATGAAGGATGACAGAGATGCATTTTATGATGCTGGTCCTTAATACTCTTCAGTAGAAGTCCTGTATGGTTCCCTGTAGCTATATCAGTTTTTTTCACAAGGAAAGCAGTTCACACTCGGGTAGGAGAGCTATCTTTCCTGTGACCCCACAGCTTGTAGAGTTTAAGACCCATGTAAGAGAGCACTGGCACTCAGACATAGGACCACTAGTGTTCGGTGGCATAAAGTCAGGCAAACAGCATTGTTTCTGTGTAAAATCAGTTGCAGATCTCTCTTATTCAATGGGAAATTGTTGTGGTTTAAGCCCAGCTGGTGACTCAGAACCACACAGCTGCTCACTCACTCCCCCTGTTCTTCACCCCGTGCTCCTGCAGGGATGGGGACGAGAATCAAAAGAATGTAAACCCCATGGGTTGAGATAAGAGCAGTTCAGTAACTAAGGTATAATACAAACCACTGCTGCTACCACCAATAATAACAATGATAAGGGGAGAGGACGCAGCCACTTACCACCTGCCGACTGATACCCAGCCCGACGGGAGCAGTGATCTGGGCCTTCCAGGTGACTCCCCCTGGTTTCTATACTGGGCATGATGTGCTGTGGTGTGGAATAGACCTTTGGCCAGTTTGGGTCAGGTGTCATGTCTCTGCTTCATCCCAGCTTCCCATGCCCCTTCTCACTGGCAGAGCATGAGACTGAGAAGTCCTTGATCAGAATAAGCAATACTTAGCAACAACTAAAAACATCATTGTGTTATCAGTGTTGTTCTCAGACTAAAGTCAAAAACACAACACTGGCACCAGCTACTAAGGAGAAAAATGATCGCTTCTGCTGAATCCAGGACAGAAACATAGGATTTTTTGAGAGGCAGAGCTTAAACATAAGGATTAAACAGCTGCCTTCAATTTCAGTGAGAATGTTAGGTGATCTTCATAAAGAGAAGTATTAAGGTGTATTGTGAAATATTTTTCATAGTTGGGTGGTTTTTAAATTAGTAAACAAATTTATTTCTTAACACTTGCCTTGGGTATTCTTGCTGCCTTCTTTGGGAGCTTGTTGGCAGAGGAGAAGCAATCCTTTTCATTAGCAGATTTCTCATCTCCTCCTACCCCAGAATATTATTATCAGCTCATTTAACTTGTGTAAGTTACTGAATTGGGCTTGTGAGGATGCTTTATAGTAACTGGTTGGGTTTTTTTTCCCTAGCCTTATTTTCCTGAAGGGTGAAGACACCTATCATAAAAAGGAATAGTTCCTGTTGGATTCCAGTCCTCTCAGTGTTCTTGTTGTTTGGGGTCTAATTTTAAGTGCTTTTACCTATCTTAATTTTTGCTCTCCCCCTATCTCTACACACATGGGCATCTGTGGAAGGTATGCCAGGGCTACCGAGATGCCTGACTCCTGCATAAGTATTAGTTACCTTGCCTGAGGTACAGAGGAAGAGCTGTGTGTTTTACTTGGACATTACCCTCCTCCATACACTCATGTAAGAAAGCATGCTGAAGCTGTTGCGGGATGAGATGTGGCCAGGATGGCTTGCTATAACTGTTGGTGGCTCTTCTGAGTTTATTTTTTCCCTTTCAGCTGTGCTTGCAGACATTTTCTACTTCCTGAACATTTACAGCCATGGCAAGCTGCCGTCCCACTGCGAACAGCGCTTCCTGCCTTGTGAGATTGGGTGCGTCAAGTACTCCCTGCAGAATGGCATAATGGCTGATTTCCATCACTTCATAGAGCCAGGTGAGTTCCAAGGAAGGGAGACAAGTAGCTCATGTTGCTCTGGAGTGAGAGAGAGGTTTTCTAATGTCAGTTACTGCTGCCCAGATTAGATTTCTGGTATTAAGGTAGGTTTGTTTATTTCACTGTAAGTGGCTGGACTTGTTAAAATATCAGAGCTGTGCTGGTTGTTCCTGAAGAGATGGACTTAAGTGTCAGAAATGCACAAAGCTTCAAAAAGTGTAGAATAAATCCAGGAGGACATTCAGATGTTTGTGCTTTATATTTCATGGCAATGAATGTTTGTCTTGATTTGCCCTAAACACACACACTGTACAATATACTTGTTCTTTAAAATGCATATAAGTGAAAAGAACTCTTGAGAAATAATTGTGGCACTTTCACAAGGCCATAAGGGAAGTTAAAGTTCCTTCCTGTACATGAAACTGTGGTGCCTAGCTCAGAGTTAAGGATCTGTCATACTGGATGTTGGATGATGATTGTTCGTTTTCTCCATCTCCCCTTCTCTTCTGCAGAAGTACCACCACGTGGGTTTCGGTACCACTGCCAGGCTGCTAGTGAGTATCACTGGAGAAAAGGAATGGTATGCAAAGATGTACAGGTTTAGACTCATCTTACCTCGTCTGTATCCAGATGTCAGAATTCTAAGTCTGCAGTTTCTTCTGCTGGGAACTTGGCAAGTTTCAAAGCGAATGGAGTGATAGAGCAGCTTGTCACACCTTTTATGTGTTTCTTGTACCCACAAATGGCAGAGCACAACCCAAAATGGTTTTGTCAATGGCAGTTATTTATATTCTGTCTTTCTATTTTAATTCAATAGTAACTGCAGTATGTTCTTAAATGGGACAAGTTCGTATGGCTTTAAAAGCTTTCAAGCCCATCTGAGCAGAGAATCCTTCCCTTGATAGTCCCTGTGTGAATCTTCAGCATGAAGTGCTAATTCGTAATTGGTTAACTCAGAGATACTTGTTTGTATTTAAAAGTTGGGTTTTGCAGTTCTATGTATATCAACAAAGTTAAAGTATTTGTAACTTCATTCTCTCTTGCTTGGTCTGCCTTGTTTCCCTTGTGATTCTTTAGTGTTTATAGATTCCAGTTTGTTTTATTACGACATTTCCTCCCCTTGTGTATAAAGGGAACAAACTTGGCCCATGTTTTCCTGTATCAAACACTTAGATAATGGACTTTTAAAAGGGGTAACCATGTGTGTGTTTGCTCACAGCCTACACCCCCCAGTTTTCTGCTGAAAGGAGCAGATTTTAATAGCTTAATCTCAGACCCTGCCTGTAGGGTACAGGTCTGTGTGCTTTTGTGTATATGTGTATGCATATAAAAAGATACAAAGTAGGGGGGGAACTCTTATCATTTAAGGAAGCAGGACTTCTTGTAATATTTTTTTCTTGCCTTACCCAGGTGATGCCACTCACAAGATCCCTATATCTGGGTTTCATCTGCCACGTTCTTGTTACGAAGTTGTCTTATGGGAACTTCTCGAGTTTGTCCAGCCAGCCAGAGGTGTCTGGCCTCGCTTTTACTGCAGGGTATGGTCAAGGTCAAAGTAAGAAGCTCTAAGTCAAAACCTCTAATTTCACTTTTGTTGGGTGACTAAGAAGGTACCCCTCTAAAAACTAGTCAGTGTGCACATGAATGGGAAAAGATACTTTTTTTCCAAAGCTTCCCAATTCCATGCAGGAATAAATTCCCCTACAAGCTTACCTTCTTATAAGGCAGAGACCTAATTTTCTGCTTTATTATTTTCAGCATGCACTTCTGGCTCTAGTCTACTGATGAACATTTCACTTGGTCTCTAACATTGTTTTGACTTAGATTAAGGGCTTTTAAGATTGGCTTAAATTGATTGTGCTGTATAATAGTCAGACAATTTTTTTTTTAAGGGATGTTCTTATGTTGTTCCCCATGAGAAATACTGTACACGTTAGTTTTTGCTCAAGTTTCATTTGCCAATGAGCAAAATTAAATGTTAGGGTTCAGAGGTGTTTTAAACTTCATAGTAGCTGTATTATCTCTTGATTCCATTTGAGCCTAATATCCTTAAAAAGGCAGGGAGGGTCAAGATCTTGGGCTCCATCCCTAAATACAGGGAGCTCTGAAGAAATACACATGGGAAAAAAAGAATACCTCAGAGCACTTAAGGGATGTATTACGGGTTAACCTTTAACTTCCAGAATTTCTCCTGGGGTCTGGTTGGAAAGCCTCTGTGGCATTTGGTTCCTCTTCGAGATAATTTTCGGGAAGAGTGTACATTCAGTCCCATAGACATTGGGTTTTGTTTTGGAGGTGACCTTTTCAGACATAGTCAGAAGTCTTTCAGATGCCAGGATTATATACTGTACTACTTTGATGTGGCTAAAATTTTCTTTTCTCTAGTCTAATGACAGGTTCCGAATTAGCTGGTGTCTCAATCGAATGGCTAGCATCACAGGTGGGAAACTGGTTATTTTTGGCCTCCCCCGTCTATCCTTCTCCCCAAAGAAAGATTATGTACTCATGTACAGCTGTATTTGTCTGAAAATCTTGGGGTCTCAAAGGTTTCATAGAAGCTGGTACTGATAGATAGAACTATTTTGTGTGCTGCTTCCTGTTCTTTTCCTCCCCTTCAGTGGCAGTGAAACAGCAGCATGAGCAGCTTACTGGCTAAATGAATGCACCTAGAGAATATACACACTCTTTTCTAGCTCAGCCACTTAAAGGAGCACTAGAGGCAGATGAGAGTATTGTGAAGGTGAGCGGGTAGCAACACGTGGCAAAGCTAACAGCTTCAGAGGAGAAATGGCCTGCAAGCTGGGTAACATTTTTACTGAGGTGGAGGGAAATGATGGGAATATAAGATGACCCACTTTGCTAAGAAGCTAGGTTTTAGTAAAACCACTGGTAGAATAACTTGTTAAGCTTTAGCAGAGCTTTGATGCTCTGGTAAGAGGCTGGACAATGAACAGGGACAGACTGAGAAGTGAACCAAGAAGAATATTCATAGAATGACAGAATGGTTTGTGTTGGAAGGGACCTTAAAGGTGATCTAGTTCCAACCCTGTGCCGCGGACAGTGACACCTTGCACTGTACCTTCACTGACTTATGTTCTCCTGACCTGGATTTTCTCTGAGCTATAGGCATTGACAGCCACCTGGAACTCCTTGACGTAGAAGACTTGGTAATAGAGCTGTACCAGAAGAAATACCAAAAGGAGCCATCCAAGACTTGGGTGTGTAGAGAACTGGATGCCTTCCTGTGGGATTTCTCCAGTAATACCAGGTACGTTGGGTTTTTCTTTGTGGAAGCAGGTATTAGCCTGATGTGTCCTGGTGCCCTGTGTTACAGCTTGTAAGCTGCAAGGCTGGAATGTTCTACAAGCCTTCAAATCGGAAACCCTTCTTGTTGCATCATGAGTACAACTGGAAATGAAGTATACTGTCCCAAAAGAAGTGTGAAGTTCTTTTTAGTGCTGAGTCTGAGCCCTAATTTAAAAGAGGGGGTAAAAAAGGGAATAAAATATATTGTGGTGTTTAACTGGAGATCATAAAAGTGAGAAGATTGAGGCTCTTAGAAGTGTAATTTGGATGGGACCTGGCTGTTACTATACATCAAATAGCTCATGCTGCTGCAGTGATGAGGGACAAGGTATGTTTGCAGTGGTACAAATCAAGTTCTCAAGCCTAAATGTCGAGTGCAATCCTGTCTTTTCTTTCAGAATGGATGTTCTTTATTACGTATCTGGAATCATATTTACTTTGTAGGATTTTTTTCTGTCTGTGTGTCTTGTTTGGTTTTTTGTTTTCTTTTGGTTGTGTGTGGTTTTTTGTTGATGTGGTGTTCTTTTTGTGGCTTGGGTTTTGTTTGTTTTTAATTTTTATTTTCAGTGTGTCTTGGACAGTAAAGCTCTTCCTGCTCTCAGATTCTTCTGTATTGTACAACTAAGTGGTATGTAGCTTGAGGTGTTTCAGGGCAGTGTTTAGACATGACACAGTTAACGTGGAAATATGCTGTAACTTTCCCTCTGCTACTATAAGAACCAATAGTTTAATCTTAAAATTTAATAGACCATTAAAATAAAATAATACTATTATTGGAAGTCTCCTTACAGTGTGGGTTTTTAAGATCCATTGGGATAATCATTGTCACACTATCTTTTTATAGGCAGGTAGTTTTCCATTTCCATGACTATCTTCACATTGGAGAGAAACCTTAAGAGAATGGGAAAATGTATTTTAGAACACACATTTGGAGAGGAAAGTGCTTATGCTAAGAGGAATGGTTTCACGTTAATGTGAAACTTCAAATTGTTACCTTTAAATCCCTTCTGTCTTTCAGAATTCTCTTCCTTTCCTCCCATCTCAGCATGAAGCAGGTTGCCTTTATGCATGACTTTTAACTCTTCATACACCACTTAGAGCTTCCTTATTGAGTGCTGGTCCTCTGTGGAATTGTGAAGGTACTATATGGTCACTGAGACAAAAAGGTCTTTAATAATTGTTCCTGTTCCTTCTGACCAGACCCATCTATTCATATTGATTAACAATGTTCATTCTTGTGAAATAAGCCTGAACTTCATTTCATGTAGGTGCAAGTGGCATGAAGAGAATGACATACTGTGCTGTGCTTTGGCATCCTGTAAGAAGATCGTGTGAGTATTGCTAAGGAGTTACCTCCAGTATGATAACATTTTATTTTGCTATAGAGGCACTTTTTTGGCTCTGGCTTCTCTGACTGCCTGGAGCACTGTAGTTCTAGATCTTGAGTTTTATTTATTCCCTTCACTCTCAAGATTTTTTTCTATTTCTAACTTTACCTATATGTTTATATGGCTTAGCAGTATGCTGTGAGTCTTAGCACTTAGATGAAATGTAACTTCTGTGATAGTAATCCATCACTCTAGTCATCTTTTCACTACCTCCACTTACTATTGGAGAGTTGAGAGAAGTGTCAGATTAGAATTCACTGCTTTTCTTCAGAGGTTTAGTTTGCCTGTATTTGGTGAGACATTCTCAGTATTTTCTAGCATATCCCTACTTTGGAAACTTTTATATTGCCTTACATATAATATGAATACATAAGGTTCTGAACTTTTTCAGGTGTGGGGAAAGAGGAAGTAAATAGTTGGGACACAAGGAAATGCAATTTAAGATCACCCTTGGCAGCAGTTTGAGGGAGGTGATAATGAATAGTCTTTCGTTCAAAAGCCTCTTCCTATGTACACTATGTCTTGCAAAAAGAATGTTGCTTTTCACACTTCTAATGGGCTGCATTTGATAGTGTGGGGAAGTAATTGTTCTAAATTTCTTGTGTAGCTGCAGAATAGGCTAGTGGCCTTGGAAGGACGCAGGGCAACAAGCTCCTGCTCTGTGCATCTCGGGTTGTTTTTGTTTGCCAGCTGGAGAACTAAAAATGCTGTACATAAGCATTACAGCCTCTCAGCTAAACTCTTCTTGTTTTCTTTTTTTTCTCCATGAAGTTACTGCATCAGTAAATCTTTAGCTAGTGCATATGGTGTCTCACTGACAGCAGCTCACCTGCCTCTTCAAGACCTTGATAATGGTGAAAGCACAAATACCAAGATGGTGATACTGGATGCTGGACGTTTTCAGGTAAGATTCTTTAAACTGATACCCTGTTTTATTCCTAGTGAACTCACGTGTTCAAACTTGCCAATTTTAGGTTAGCTGTTTTCTCTTTGCCTGCTTTCTTTTGTGACATATAATGGGAAGACTGGTGAAATTAAAATAATCACTAGCTGGGTCATTTGTTGTGAGTTTTGACTGTCAATTGGTAGGTTTCGTGGATAGTTGTGTATGCTGCATTTTAAAAGGCACATGGATTATTTTGAATGTTTATTTCTTCATACAGAATATGAAAGCTGAGGGTCCTGGATATGACAGACATTTTGCTTTTGCAAGACAGGATCAAGAATTTGTCCTTTCTAACTGTGAGTTTGATACTTTCACATTTATAAGGGGAAAGAGGTATTTAAACTTAATCCTGTTGATGCTTTTTCAAGTTTCTGGGCTTAGATGTTACCTGTAAGTGGCACAAAGCTTAAACGCTTCTGCATAAGCTGCATTTATTGCTGAATGTGGCTTTCACTGAATTTCTGAAGACATAAAGAGTTACCCTTTTCTTATTGGATACAGTCTTTAGGGTCAAAAAGGTCTCTCAAAATGTAGCTTTCTTATAAGTGTTGCTCTCTGATTTATACCCCCTTATTTTTCTGCCACATGACATCCATTCTCCTATGCTTAGGTGCTTTGAGGCAGGGCCATCTCTAAAATGCTCTCCTTGCTCTTAAATCTCATGTGCAGACACAGCTGGTATTTGTTGCAAGTATTCCACTATAACTTAGGGGAATACTTATCAAGACTATTCATTTAAAGTCTTCTTTTTAGAGGTGAAATTTCCTTAATGGTAGGCATGTGAGCTCAGTTCATCTGCGTAGTTCATGGCTAATCTTCAGAGGGACAGAATCAAGTTTGTAAGACAAATAACTGTAGGAATTCTAAGCTCGTAGCTTATTTTCTTGCATATGAAATAAACACTGTAGTGTCAGTTTAACACAAACTCCAAAACTGTTGCAGCTGTAAATCATGATGTCTTATGGTCTTGATATGTATTGAGGACACAACCCCTGTCTCTGATTTTTCATATTAGAGCTGTTGAATAGGTTCAGCTCCACAGCATATGAAATACTAGTCCATTAACTTGTGCAGGCTTTGAAGGCTGATTTGATTTGCAAACTGTATTTAATTTAATAGGTGATTCTCCATGTGGTGTGAAGACCTGTTCCCTTTATGGAACAAGCACCATGCGAGGAAGAGGAATTACTCGATTGCTGAAAAGTGCACCTGACCTAGCCAAGTCTTTCAGTAACTGAAGGTCTTCTCTTACATCCAGGACAGCTGTAAATTCTACTTTTCCTTGTTTTCCTAAGACAAACCAGCAGTTTTTTTCCAGTTTGCAGTATTTCATCTTATGTGCAAACTTTGACAGTTCAACTTCTTGTTAGAATGATAAAACTATTGACTGGATTTAGAGGCAACAAAAATCTCATTATCTACAGAAAGACTTATTTTGAAGGGACCTGATAGTTGCATCTTCTCTTTAAAAGTACATGCCATACTAGTTCTGTTTCTTACTGGATGGAGTGCAAGTTCAAGATTGATTAGTCGGTATCACTGGAATAGAAGAATTCTTTAGTGATCAATGTGACTTTAAACGAGTGCTTTATCTTTTTCATAACCTCTTTGCCCTCTCCTGCATGTGGAGGACAGAATTGCAGTATAGAACAGTCTTTCCCCCAGAAATGGGGAGGGGGGTGAGGGTGAGAGCAGCAGCATTGAAGGTATGAAGGGCTGCACTAGGGGAATTAAAAGGTATAACAGTCTTGAAGGTTTGCTGTAATCTGTCAGTTCTAGCCACTAAGAATTTGAGTGGCCATTCAAGGCAGAAAGACTTGCTGTGAAATGCCTTGGAAGAAATGTGGTGGCAAATGTATCTGTTTATGGATGTTCTTTTGGAGGCACAGGTTATGCACATCAGGAACAAGTACAACATAGATGTATTTCTTTTCTCCTTTACACCAGTTTTCTGTTTTAAAAAAGTACATGTCTCAAACTTAGAGACTGAAGACAAGTTGAGGTGTTATGGGTGTTTTTGAAAGCAGTATCAAATTCAAACAGATACATGAATCTGTAGATCCAATTTCACAAGTTTAGTTATGCTGGGTAGATACCAGTCATAAATCATTTGGGGGTACGTAAGAACTGGGAGACTTCAGTATCCCTAAGAAGTTGTTGTTTCATTTTATGGAGGTGTAAGTCTTGGAGGAGTTCCCAAAATTTGTCTGTTGTCTGAGCCTTGTCCTTAGCCCGTGTGTCTTTAAGCAACTGATTGTCAGAAACAAGAGCTTATTTTTTTCAGTTGTTTCTACATTTTGTTCCAGCAAAGGTCCAGTTGTGAAATACTATTTCCATAGCAACTAACTGTGAGAAGATAGCTATTGCATTCCTTGCAGGAACTGGAACTGAAGATTAGGTAGCTCATTCTTCTGCATAATAGGGGAAAAAAAAAACAAACCCAAACACAACACACTCAAAATAAGAGGTCAGCACATTCATGAATAAGTTTGAGCATGCTGATCAGTATGTTTAAAAAAGGCTAATTGCTGTTTAGTTGGACACCTGTTACAGTTGCTGTGAGGCCAATTAATGCCCTTCTTCCAGTATTGCAGGATCACTGTTTTCATGCCTCTTACCTGACAGTTTGTCTATATCACTGAATTTTCTTGAATTCTTCTGTTCTACCTGCTAATTTTCACCAGGTAAGGGACACTGAGCATCTAAGCCTGAGATCTATCAATTAAGCATCTGAGGATGTAACAAGTAAGAATGTCTGTTTAGTAGTGGTAAGGGCTTCTCTGCATTGGCATAGAGTTGTTCAAGTTTTAAGTTTCTTAATTGACAGTTCTTGCTGCATGGATACTTCAGAATATACAGAACTGTATACTTGAATTCTTCTCAGCGGTTGGTGTTGCAGTAGAAGTTTCATGTTTCAGTTCTTGTGAAGAAGAAAATTCATTATTGTCAAAATATTTAGAGTACACAAACCAAAGAGCACTTATTATGTTTAAGATCTTGTGTATCTTCAAGACTGAGATGAAGAATCTGAGCAGAAATGGAGAAATACAGAGTTAGGGTTCCATGACATGTTTATCACCTGTATCTTAAAAAGTAGTACATAAGCTATAGAAGACCTAGTTACTGTTCGCTTATAGGTAGGCAGTGGGCTGTTAACTAGGGCAGTAACTGTCTTGCCCTAGTAACCAAAACCCTGTGGTGTTTCTTGTAGTGAAAACTGTAAAATCTGTATAATGAGGACACTAACTTGATGTAACCCATTTAATACTATTGTTCTGTATATATTGAGGGAGATCCCTAACAACTGTTGCAGGATGATAGAAAATTTGTTCATTTTGGAGCTCTGTTTCCCTGGTGATCTTGCAGTTTGAATCTCTGATTTCTTGAAAAGTAAGTTCTGCCTAGTAAGCAGTAATGCTTCTCTCCTTTAATGGAAAAGTAAAGATGAGGGAAAGATGATGACAACCTTAGCAGACTTCTTAAGTGCAAGGAATAGTACTGGTAAGGCATAAATGGAGGGTTAAAATTGGAACAAAAACTTGCATGACAAAGTTCTCAAGGGGAGATAAAACCAAGTAAAGGCAGAACGGCTCTTGAGCTGAGTTTGAGTGATGCAGCCTGGGAGCTTTAAACATGTACTTTCCACGTGGTAAAAAGTAACAGCAACTTAATAACTCTTCATATGGGTGTTATAGGTACCATATAAATTGAACTAAGGAGTTGGTTTTGTAAAGGAGTTAACAGGTTCTATCAGACCTGACTTTGTGTCGTCTTATTACAGTAGTTTGCTCAGTCCCCTGACAGTCATTGGTAAAAGTTGTCCTGGGTTTGCATGCACATTACAAAGTTAATACGTATTTTTGTTCTCGTTACATGAATAGTAGCCATATTGTTGAATTGTGTGTTACTACTCTCTACTATGAAAGTTTTGGCTGGGAGAATAGTTGTCTAAGGGTCACGAAAACACAATGGACTGTGGTAACAACATTGCTGATGTAGTCTGTGACATCAGGATATTAACCTGTAGTAACATATTCTTTTACATTCTTTTCAAAGAGTGTATAACTGATACTGGAAAATAAAGCATGTTCATCTGGAGTAAGCAGCAGTTACTGCTTCTGTGTAGTAGGAACTGTGAATCTGGCTGGTGTGCATTTCTGGCTTGTCCACCTTCTTTCAGTGAACTGTAGAAACTAGGTATGCAGAATTTCCTATTAACCACTGACTGCTCCAGCTAAGAATGTTCTTATTAGTATTCTGCTGTAGCAGAAATGTTCTCCTAAATATATACATATGCTGTAGATACAGTAACAGCTGAGTTTGATGTCTTTAATTTTGAAATTTGTTTTGGAAGGCTGATTTTACCAGTAAAGACCAGGGCAAAGAAGACATTCAGTGCCTTGGCTGCCGCCTTGTCCCTTATGACCAGCTCTCCATTCTCACTCAGATGCATGCACAGAAGTCCTTCTTGCTACCTTCTTGATGTGTGGGAAGGGAAGTCTCTGCACTCCTGAGGTCTGTGACCTCGATACTTGTGCCAGTTTTAGGATCTGCATTTTGTTAAGTTACCAGAGAGTTTCTTATGTCTAAAGCAAGGCAAATCTTTACTACCTCTTTAGCAATATGCTAGTCATCAAAATCCTAAAAGACAGAAGGAAGGCAATAGTTTGGGGATGGAGTGGAGGGTCTGTAAATACCAGGTGGTGGGTTTTGCTGTTCAGGTGCATGTCAAACTGGAGAAAGCAGTGCTGTGATCCTTTAGCAAAATGGCACAGTTGGTATTAGTTTCACTGGGTGTGTTCTTTGCCAGCTACCTGGAGTGAGGTCCATGCTGAGCCATATTCCACATAGGAAACTTGCTCCCATTTCAGGGACTCTGTCTTGAGCCATCGCAGTCAGATGGTGGTGTGCTGAAAGTCAGATTCAAGGAAGCCCTGTCTGGATTTCTTTGCTAAATAGCTGTAGTTTTCTGGTCCTGATGTCTTTTTAAAACCCTGCATAATTAACACAGAGGGACTGTGCTTTTGACCTGTTAGTTTAAATTAAAAAATGCTAATCCTTCCCCTTACCACGAATTTCAGATTTTTCCACAAAGTTCAGTGACTCAAATATATGTGTGAAACTGAGTTTTTAATTTCTGGTTGATAGATGGAGTTATATGCAGCCGACTGCAAAGGCTTCAACAGTACCTTTCTGTTTGGCAGAGTGAGTGTACTGTAGTGGGGCAGGGGAATAGCAAGTCTGTTATATCATTTCCACCCTCTTGCTGTTTTCTGTGGGATTCTCATCCCTTAATAGGGATATGGTTGATAGGATTATCATCCTTATCAATCACAGAATGAGTGGTCAATTAATTTGTATTGCAGTGATTCAGTAAAATGAAGAAATGGGCAAACAGTGATTAGTCTAAACCGGTATTATCTCTGTTCACTCACTTTTCCTTGCTTCTGTCTTAGGAGCTCCCACAAGCTTCTCTAATTACCATTCTCGAACAGTCCCCCTCACTCCCTAGTGAAGAGGTATAATTCAGGAGAGAGAAGTTCCAAGTCCCCCTTATGTTCCAACACATCCAGAATTAATCTTGACGGTTTGCTCATTGTACTGTGAACTTCATCAGACAGAAGCCTGCCTTGGTGTCTCTCCTGGAACAGATGATACAAATAAATAGAAAAGTAGTGCTGTTACTCTAGCAACAAGGATTGTGAGGTAATTAACCCTTGTCTGTCTGATCAGTTCTGACCTGTGCACTGAATCCTGAAATAAGCAGTAGCAGTGCCAGCTTTTCTGTGTGTCTAGTGCTGGAAATGCTTCTCAAAATCCTGACAAGAGAGAGGAAGGCAATGAGAGCAGACCTTGGGGGTTATGCAGGAAATGGGTAGGAGTGGAATCCCTGGGAGGCAGCTCTGAAAAATAAAGGAGTTCATAAAGAACAGCATCTTCCAAATGCAAGGAACATCCAGGAATGCAGGTAGATGGATCAGGTGACTGTCTAGTCTTTACAGAGAACTCATGGCTGCACCCTATTTATAGTGCAGTAGTAGTACCAGTAGTAGGGAAGGGAGGTAGAAGCAGGTGTGGGCTACAAAGATAAAAATGCACAAACACTGGCCAGGCCTGTAGGGGTGGTGTTTGGAAAGCCAAAGATCACCTGGAATTGGTGCTTGCAAGGGATCAAGGTCAACAAGAAGAGCTTTTGTGACTTCATTAGCAGTGGAAGACTGAACAGGAAAAAATAGTCCTGTTGCTGAATGGTACGAGTGATTCAGTAACATAGCTGGAGTACCACGGATAAGGCTGAGGTGCCCAAACCTTCTTTGGTCCAGCCTTTTCTAATAAGGTCTATAAGATCTTTATACTCAGGAAAGGTTCAGGGAAAAGAACACCAGCAGTGGATGAAGAGCGAGTCAGGGATCATTTGGGAGTTCTAGACCCATACAAGTACACAGAGCCAGATGGGCTGCATCTGAGGATGCTGAGAAAGCTGCCTGATACCATTTAAGGATCCCAGAAAGCACAGAAAATCCACAGCAAAGGAAGGCAAATATTGCACCCACCTGTCAAAAGGAGGATCTGGGAAACCATGGGCTGCTCAGTTCCACTGTTCTTGGAAAAGTCATGGAGTGAATCCTCTTGGAACATGGTTTTGGGTATGTGAAGAAGAGGGAGACTGGAAACAGACTGTAAAAATTGGACATAACTAAACAGTGATTTACTATAGGCTGTGTAGAGGGTAAAGTAGGAATTTACTTTTTTGCCTGGTCACTCATTTTCTGCCTGCTTCTTGCCTTTTGAGGGAAGTGAGTATTAAAGTTGGGTATACATGCATTCATTCTTTGGAATTAATTGAGCATTGGTAGCTTTCCCCATCTTCCCCCAAATACTTTAGTACTGCTTTAATTTTGTTTAAAGCTGTGGCTATACTCCAGGCTCTTGGAGTTATTCCCGCTTCAAAAGACATTCAAGACACACAAGTAATTAACTCAGCCACAGGAAAACCTTAGAGAAAGATAGGAATTTGAATGTGTATTTCTGGCTGACTGAGTTTAACAAATTGGTTGAGGAAAAACACATGTAGCATTCTGATAAATATACAACTTCCAAAATGTTAGTCTCATTTAAAACAAAAGATGGGGGAGATCATAAGCAGCACTGAAATATCTCAGCCATCTCCCTATGTGCTATCACTTACAGTAGTTCCCAGTGTAGAACTGAGCTCGGTGTTGCAGAATGTAAGTAGTTCTGCTTTAATGGTTGTCAAATTTGCCTCTTGCTTTTCCCCTGCTAGTTGTTACAGAACCCACTTAGAGAATTGAATTCATGGTTTTAGGGGTCATTATGTTACCTCTTCTGTATTTTTTTTTGTCCGGTTTCTTCAGGTAACTTAATGCAGATTAGCAAATCTGCATTTTTCTTTCTGCTTAAAATAACCAATGTGCAAATGTTACTTCAAGACTTCAGCTGAACAAGCAGCAACTAAACTTCACATACCCTAAAAGTGAAGAGTATGGGATAGGTAACATAGCGTTCAAATGGTTTGGAGGCCAGAGCCAGCTTCTGGCCATAAATACTTCTGATGATTGCTAAGTCCTTTCCAGTTAAGATCTGAATACACACTATTACCCCTCAGCAGAAGCCCTCTTCAGCCCCAGGGTAGAGGTGTTTCTGGGGGAATGCAGAGTGCTGACAAATGTCTGTAACATTTAGAAAAGAAATAGGTTTTGTTTCACAGTAAAAACTTGTTATAATGCAGATCAGATAATCTGTACTATCCTTGCTTGTTACAAAAGAGAATAAAATGTGTATCGGCTCTTGTTTCTGAGCTGTGCACCTCATTTATCTGCCGTTAGTTTCCATATGCAAAATTCTTTTTTAGTAATCCATTTTTGCAACATTCTGTCATGCATCCAAACTGAGCATGGGAATAGGTCCTTAGAATGTCTTGCTGAGTTACGTTTCAGGTTATTCATTGCCAGAGAGATCTGGGTTTGTGTGTACTTTGTAAAGAACTCTGGTTGTTGGGTTTTGCAGTTGTTAATAGCTGAAATGAATAATTATCTTTTAAGTACTAAATAAAACAAAGACAGCCAGAAAGGAAGACAGAATAACAGTTCTGGTAGTCTGATTTTCGTAGTGCAGAACCTAGAAAGTGCTGCCTGTGTGTGTAGGAGGATTGCTGGTTCTGCTTGAAAGTTAGATATTAGAGTTTTCTTACAGATTTAAAAGCAACAACTTGGGGTAAAGGGTATGGGGGAGGCATTGCAGGAATTCTCTTAAACTCCTGAATTTGAAGAAGTAGCAGTTCCTACAGGAAAGCAGGAGAGAGACATTTTACAAGGGCATGTGGTGACAGGACAAGGGGGAATGTCTTTAAGTTGAAAGAGGAGAGATTTAGATTAGACATAAGGAAGAAATTCTTCCCTGTGAGGGTGCTGAGGCGCTGGCACAGAGTGCCCAGAGAAGCTGTGGCTGCCCCATCCCTGGCAGTGTTCAAGGCCAGGTTGGACACAGGGGCTTGGAGCAACCTGCTCTAGTGGAAGGTGTCCCTGCCTGTGGCAGGGGTTGGAACTGGATGAGCTTTAAGGTCCTTTCTAACCCAGACCAGTCTAGGATTCCATGACGGTGCAATAGAGACCTTTAAAAGGATAAATATTGTAGTTCAATAAGGTATTTATTGAGCATGTCCTAAAAAAACCCCCACACCATACAAACAAGAAGAGCTCAAACAGCTCTAATACTGTTCTAATACCATGTTGCCAGTCTTTTGGACAGACAGTCCATTCCCTTCCAAAGATGATAAACTAGTGATGGGAGTTCTCTCCACATTTGCACATACAGTGTTTCTGATTAAACTGTTACAATTTGGAATAAAATGGTACTTTTTCTCTGTTTTCCCCACACACACCATTTGCCATGTACGTGTTCTCACACTGTCATTTTTCCAGAAGTGGCAGCAATGGACTATTTCTGACCTGCCCATGCAACAGTCAGGAGGAAATGGTAAATTACAAGTTCGTCTGATTTCTTACCTTATCCGTTCTGTTAGTGTGCATTGTAGTTCCAGACAGGAGGCTTTCATTGGTCATCTCTGAATGGTTTCCATATTTTTATTTATATGTGCATGGATAATATATACAGAGAACACATTTAATAAAGTGTCCTTCAAAATCAGCTTGCTTCAGTCTGCATAAAACAATTTCTGTACTGGACCATGCTGTAAGCTGTGGCATGTGGGTAACACCATGGACAAGACCACCTTTCCTTGATGACTTGCAGTTGGTGACCTCGAAAGCTTCTGTAGATCTGGGGATGCAGCTGTTCTCCAAATAGACCTGACTGGCTTCTTTTTTGAGGAAGTGGGAAGTCTAGAAGACTGGTTATTTTTAGATGACTGGCTAAAACAGTGCCTCAAATGCATTTTCTGCTGTGAGGTTAGGTACTCACTGTATGTAAGCACTTCTCTCCAGGGAGACATGGATATTCTCTCCCAGAGCCATCAGCTTTCATTTGATTATTCCGAAACATCTTTTTGCAGTAAGAAAGAGGGATTGGTTTCTCCTCTGCAGTGGTGTCTGTGCCTCAGTAAAGCCTGAAGATGGCACTGGCCTCCTGCTTCTCTCTTCATTCATCTTCAACATCATCCTCTGCTCTTGGATGCCTTGCAGGTGTTTCCTTGGAGGGTTCACTTCTATCTTCTTGCTCCCTAAAATATCGTTGAGGGGTAGAGATGTTAATTTAAATCAGCTAGAAATGTTACCGAAGAGGGTTTGTGTTAGAAGGGTTTTAGGCTGCCCCAAGCTGACCTGGAAGTGTACCAAACTGAACTCCAGAAATTAAGTCTCACTGGTGGTGCAAGAGGTGAGTGAGCTACTGTTTTGTTTTTTTTTTTCAATAGCATGTGTGCAGAGAATGAGTGACTGGTGTATCTTTTCTTATCCCACTTTTCTTCCAATGGGCTGTTTCCATCATGAGAATAAACAAAAGGTTTCTGTCTTGGAGAGATAATTCTGAATACAGATCTCCTTGGTTCTGTATTAGGCTAGCAAGGACAGAGACAGCTGTAGGGGCTCAGGGGAATGAGAAGCAGTCTGGGCTTTGCTTATCAGGTATGCTTGACTGAATTTGGCTTGGTAGTTCAGTTCCAAGGTTTGAATGTTGTGGTTCAACCCCAGAGGCCACAAAGGTGTCTGGTAATAGTGGGCATATCCTGAGAGGAGAGACAGGAGCTACTAGGGTAGAAACTGAAGGGAGAAAGCAGTGCATGCTTTCCTCAATTTCTTTCTTCCTCCTGTATTTTCCACTCTGTATGTTGAGGGTGGAGGGAGAACCTGAATCCTTCATAGCTCCCGTTCACTTTTCTAGAGAAAGGTACTTACGTCATCTCATAGTCCTTTTCCTTCTCTGTCCGACAGCAGCAGCAATAGACTAAAATACTAATAACTATAATTGCAGCAACAGCTCCACCAATGATGCCAGCGTAGAGAGCTATGTTCATGGATGCTAGACAGGAAGGAAAGGATTAGTGCTTTGCAGTGATAACAATATCAAAGGCAATCAGCACAATCGCTAGCCTTCAACTCCCACCACCAGGGGTCAGATCTCACTACCAGATCCACACTGAGCAGAAACCATGTTTGTTTGACTGCTGCAACTGGAATTCATTCTGTGCTAGGTAGCTGGTAAGTCTGCAGGAGCAATTACTTAAATAGTGATAGGGAGGAGCCCTATCTGAACAACTACTGTACTTTGTTGATACGGTTTAGTTTCAGACTCTTGGGGCTCAGTCCTATCTCACTCTGCACATTTTCTTGTCATCTGTGAACTAACCCTAGAGTTAGTGAGTGCTCTGTTAGTGTGTAAACCAATGCAAAGATTCTGCCTTAAAAGGAAAAAAGTGTGCTTTTTTTTCAGAGAGAGAAAGCAGAATTTTATACTTCTCCCTGTGTTGCCTGCATTACTCTTTTGACACTTAGCTAGGATCCATTCTCTGCTACCACTCTCCCAGTAAGCAAGTCTGTCTCTTACGTGGCATTACGCTGACTGTCATGTTGCAAAATTCCTTTCCCACGATGTTTGTTGAAGTGCAGATGTAAAAGCCAGAAGTATCTGCTGAGATATTCTTCAGAGTTATTTGTTCCCCTGTTGTGAAACAGAAATCCAGTCCGAAAAAGAAAACTAAAGAAGGGAAGGAAGCAGGGGACAGCAGCCCTTCAATTCCAGCCCAGAGTAGTTGGAGTGATGAGAGGTTATTAAAGCTGATGGGCTGCTCTGTCTTGTTCAGAGGCTGCCATGCTCATCCCTGGGTTTTAGTGTGATTTGTGGGAGGACAAATGGAAGTGTGCTGTTTTGAGTTGATTACAGGGAATGTGTGGCATTCAAAGATTCCTTTTAGAAAGAAAACTGTAGGTGGAGGGTGAAGAGGTATGTGTGCTCAGCAAAAGCTTTTTTGCATTGGAGTTTGCTGAGAAATACATGATGGCCCAGACCAGTATCTGGCTTTGAGAAGTGGCCATCTGATGAATTAACTTGTAAAAGAACAAAAAGCTCTTCTGTCTTCCAACTCTTGGGACCTGAATTATTTTGGATCTGAATTATTTAGCAGTGGGTGAAATAATTTTCTGGTCTGGGAGAGGCCCCGAGGGCTGTAAAAGTACATGGAGGAAAAGAAATGCAATGACATGAGATTGGTGTGACACTGGTGCTTTCTGTCCAACCTAACAGCTCAGAACCATATGCTAAAGCTCTGTCTGCTCAAGCAGTCAGTTTGTGTTTGTCACATCTCCCACTGACATTTGTCTGTGTAGTGTGTGCTTTTTGGTTGTGATCTAGTTGATAAAAGCAAAAGGCTCTGAATGCTTTTTGGTGACTTTCCTGTTTTGTTTTCCCTTAATCTCACTTCTTTCCAGCCCACTTGTGGGACTGGGATTCTGTTTAGTCTCTGCTGGCGCCTAGCGCCGGGTGGTTAAAGAGCATGCAAAGCAAGAAGTAACAGGCTGCATGATGATTGAGTTAGTTATTTTAGTCTCTAAATACGGTCCATGCTTACTTGCCTTTTTGTTTTGTGGGTGCAGTATGAGCTTTATAGCTTTCAGAGCAGCAGCATGTAGCTGCACTGTAAATTTTCCCATATTAAATCAATAGTAATTGACTGGTGAGTCTAACTGGGAAAAACGTGGGTCGGATACTATCAGCTTTGGAGTAGCTCCTGAGGGCATTCTGTGCTCTCTGCAGCGCTGGGACTTGCTTAGCATAGAAAGCAACTGCTTGTAGTGCCAGTAAGGGTGTCCAGCCAGCTTGGGGCAGAAGGGGACAGTCGGCACACTACTTGGACATCGGTGCTCTGGTGAGAAAAATGAGGTGAAGTGGATGAGAAGAGCCCCGTGTCCCAGGGAAGAACGGGATGTCGGCAGAAGCAGGAAGGCAGCTGCTGCTATAAACCCACAAATCCCGGTGTGTTCAGGGCTGTGCGTGACGCGTTGGCACCACTTAGTGGCCAGTCAAATGAATGAGGTTTGGGTCCCTGGTGATACTTGGTCTTTTGCATAATTTGTGCAAGAATCGGTTATTGAGCGTTGAACAGCCAGTTGAGGCTGATCATATTTAGTTTACATAGTGATGTTACAGCAAGTTACACCAGGGAGGGTAGGTTCAGATACTCAGTCTTTCTGGTGCTGAACATACCAGGAAGAAACAAAGTTGTTTAAAGGAATAAATCTTAGTTCTCTGTCACTACTACACTTCAAAGAGAATTAAGCCCTTATTTCTGTGTGAATAGTTCTACCAAAGGTCCTGTCATGGAAAGTCAGGTTTGGGTTTGTTTTTTTTTTTTTCTTCCCCAGATTCTGACTTAAAATGAAAGCAAATTAAATATTTGGGCCTTTGTGACAGTCCTAAGCCAGAAACCTCTTTTATGCTGAAAGCAGAAATGGTGTAACTGTTTCTCATACCAATTTCCTCTATGTGAGGAGTCATCTCTGAAAACTACTTTAGCTTATAGAGCCAACTTTTGTTTGCCTTCATCCCAGAAAGCAACCTGGTCATTGTTGAGCAAGCTGGGATATAAAGATACACTGGTTAGAAACCTCAGTGTTATTCCTCATGTTATGCCCTTACACCCAGCACTTGAGAAGGAATTATTCTGGCTGCTTCCAGAGTGAATCAGCTTTCTCACCAGGTGAGAGCTGAAGTGAACACCTTACTGACCATTGTTACTTCAGGTGACAGTCCTTTCTCCTTGCTAAGTGACTTGTGTGTCATGCATCAAAAGGACAACTTCTCAAAATCCTAGTCAGAGAACTTCCTAAAAAAAAGCCTGAAGTGTGTTTTTGTGTTTGCATTTCAGAACCTTTCCAACCCTGATCTACAAATGGCTCAGAGACGTGATGTCTTTGAATTTCTCATACCTTCTGTTGTTTGTAGTGTACGGGGCTCATTTTGTACGTTGAAGCTTTGCCAGGTATATCTTGGCTTTGGGGAGCCCTCATGTGAATTGCAGGTCAGATTGATTGTCTGTCCATATTCTGCTGTCCCCAGAATCTTGCATTCTGGCTTGGATGGTGCAACTTAAGGAAGAAAAAAGGAATTATTTTTATTAATCAGAAGTATTTTTTTGTTTCAACCCATCTCCTGCACTTGTGTGTTTTATTCTTGCTAAACAGGCTGGTATTACACCTACCACCTTCTTTTCAAAGGAACTGGAGTGAACTTTTGTCTAATTTGTTTCTCCCTTCTTGGCACTGATCATCCAAGAAGGAATTGTAAGATGCTATTTGGGATATGTCCGATAGTGTTGGGTAACTCATCCTTTGATAACTGGAGTGTGACAAGCCACAGTGGGAATGAGGAATGACCTATAATGAGACAAGGGTTACTAGAAGAGTGAACTATACAATTCTAAAGCCTATTTTCTACAGCCAGGTACCTAAGGGAGTTGGGTGCGCTAAGCCTTCCAACCTACTTCCATAGTAGTAGGAAAAGACCAAAGGGTTGTGGACGATGACTTCCTGGGGAAGTGAAGGGCAGTTCTATCTAATGGATGTGGTGTTGGCTCCATCGTGCTTACCAAGGACGAAAAGAGCCAAGGTTGCGGTCTGCCGGGGGGGGTCGTTCCTCAGCCGCACGCTACACGCGTACGTGCCGTTGTCTGCCATGGTCACCGCGCTGATGGTGATGCTGATGTCCCCTGCGTTTACATCACCACTGAACCATAGGCGGTTTTCATAACCCTTGCCATACTGGACAAGTCCATCAAAGTACCTAGTGACAGCATCATCCTGAGAGAGAAGGAGGGGAAATTATCAGTCTTAGTTCCTTCTGTGTGAGTCTACAGTCTTGGTCGATTAGCCCATGGATGGATAAAGTGCCTCTAGAATCAGAGTTTCTGCTTGTGTAGTTCTGAGATTAAGGAAAGTCTGGAAGGAATCTTTTTTTTCTCTTCCCAACATATGTGTCCACCCTGAGTCCTGTTTCCATTTCCCCTGCCAGCCACCTCTGCTCTGTGCCCTATCATGTTTCTTTATGCAGTCTGATTTACCACACTCTTGAGTCTTCTCCAGACGACAATGTCTCCTGAGTCAAAGGAAGCCTCGGTTTTAAATTGGCAGTGGAGAGTAACGTTGTTCCCTCGTGCCACTTGTGTTTCCTTGGTAGGTGCTTCCACAGTGAGGGCATGTGCAGTCGCCAAAACTAGGAAGAGAAAAAATGCTGCACTCAGCAAAATTAATAGCATCTGGATTCCATGTTTTGTCTCTTCGGGTTTTTTTCACATGCCACAGTAACCCCACATCCACTCTGTCATCTGTGACATTCCCCATTGAGAGAGAGGTGATGTTGGCTGGGGCTGATCGACTCTAGGAAGCTGGTCCACAGGATGGCTAAGAGCTAAACTCTACTTCCCATTCCTCGCTCACCTCTTCTTTGCCTGGACATACTTTGTCATGGAGTTTATAAAGATGTTTGGTTTGGGATTTTTTTCCTGAGTCCTCTTTCAGTGTGTCTGATATCCTCTGACAGTTCTAGATGTACAGAGACAGATAAACAAATAATACAAGTACATCAGCAGCCTTAAGGATTCAGGCTAAACTAACAAATTTGTATTGTTGAATTTCAGGGATCAGGAAAACTCAAAGAACTCGCCTCAATCCAAGTCCATAGACAAGTGATGTTTTGTGCTAAGGGATCAAACCCTGTTCATGCAATGCCCTGAAAAGAGAAAAACCTAGAAAAGCAAAGAGAAAGAAACAAAAGAACAGCTACTAATTTTTAAAAATGAGTAGGGGAGCAGTCACCTTTCTCCAAGAACTGTAGAGCACAGGAATAGCTGAGAGTTAAACACCACAGAAATCCCTCAGTGCCCTGGTGAAGCATGCAGGGCACAGGGCGGGTGTTTCTCGTATGCTGTATTCTATTTGACTTGATGCTTAATTCATCATACCTAAGCATTAACTAGTGGCAGGCCTTAAGTTATTGTCAGAATTCAGCTGGAGGTTTACCTCTGCCCCTGCCTGTGGGAACCTGTGTCTGAAACCACCTGCTTTCTCCCTGCCGTTTTTGTTATGCATGGTTGGGTGGTGGTTGTGTTTTGTTTTGTTTTCATTTTTTTGCACAAAAATTAATCATTTGGAAAAAAATGAGTCTGAAACTAGCTAAAGGGAGTGCAGGGATGAAGGAAATAGAGTGCTGCTCAGAGGCACTCCCGTGATAGAGGAGCATGGTCCAGTAAGGAGGAAGGTGGAGAATGGCAGACATGTATGCTCTCCCCAGGAGGGCCATGCTGTATGTGGTGGGGAAGCATGCTTCTGGAAGAACCAGGCTGAGTCAGTGTTCCCCAGAGAGGATTGGACTGGAAAGTTGCCATCTAGCAAGCTTTGTGTCCTCATTCTGCCACATCTCTGTCCAGATTAGATCCATGAGGAAATGTAATGTGTAAGGGTGAGAGCAGAGGATGTCTGGACTCCACCTTGAGTTGCAAACTGATTGTGAATACATGGGTTTTCTAGACAGGAAAATACCACAGCCACATGCATTAGGTAAGTAAGAGTAAGCCATTGGCAAGTTGGGCATCACCAGATCCTTGACTGCAGTCAAGAACAGCAGTAAACAGGAGTGTCCATTAGAAAACAACAGTGTAGGGACCCAAAAGGTTTTGTTGTTACTGCTGGTAGCAATTCAGGTAATTGCAAAGGGTAACGTGGGGCAGTTGGCATGGATGGGGATCTGCTTTTAGCCAAAGTTCCCATTTTTCTGCATTCCCTGTCTTGTAACTGAGTTGTCCTGTGGACTTGCACATTTCATTAGTTATGTGTGTGGTTTAGTCTCTTTCTCTGAGACATGGTGATAGTGGTTTCTGTTCACTCTGGGATTAATTCGTTTACAGCTGCTGACAGCTATGAGAAGGAAACCAGCAGGGCAAAGTATTGCTAACATGGTTTTATTGCAGCCACTCCCAGGTCTTTCCCTGCTCTGGAGCCATCCAGTACAACACCCATGTTTGCATAGCCCCAGGGTTCTCTGTAACTGTCTCATCATGCCCTCCGAATTAGAAAGCTTTCTCCTGACCTGTTGGGACTGGATAGAAATGCTCTCCTGCATTTAGTTGAAAAGCATTACTGCCTGTACTACGAGATGGAGGAAAACCCATTTCCTGACCCTTTGTCACTCAGAAACTGGTTCCACCAGGCTGGGGTTTACTGACCGGTTACTAATTCAGCCCTGAGGCAGAGAAAAGATGGCCCAACCCTAAGGCTTCCCCTCACAAGTGCTCTTCCTTCTTCCGACTGGGTGAGTCAAATCCTACTGTAAAGGAGGCCTTTGGTTTTTTCCAAACATGTCTTCAGTGCAGAGTCAGGGAGGAGCTGAACATAACACCACGTACAGGAGGTGCAGCCCATACAAGTGAGACTGCTTATTCATCTGTTGCTGTCACCCCAATGCCTGACTTCTGATGCTCTCCTGTTTTTCACTCACGACATCTTTCTGGCTCCCACTCCTTCCTCGTTAGGGCTTCTTCCAGCTTTGGGGAGGCTGCACGTTTTCAGTCTCGATTGCCATTTACTCACACTGATTTCCTCCTTCCCCCTTCTCGCTATGTTTTACTTCTTCGCAAAGCCACCAACAGGCAGCTGGTCATAGTCAGCATGTCCAAAAATAGAGGTTTATTTTTCAGGGATTGGTTGTTTGGGTGTTTTTGGTTTGTTTTCTGACAGAAAACAGAATGTATTTGAAGTATGGCTGAAGGAAGGGGAGGGACAATTCTGAAAGGATTTCAGAAGAGGAGAGAGGACAAATAGCCTGTGTAGTATTAGAGGGATGGCATCACCTACATTTGAGCCTTAGATTATCAGTTTGTACTTTTATAACATCATAAGAAATTGAGAAAGGTTTTATCTCCCTCTGCTCAACTTAAACATTTATACTTGTACACAGGAAGAAGAAAATTAAAGTGACCCGTCTCTTTTCACTTTTCTTACTAAGTGTAATTGGAACAAAGGTCAATTAATGCAACTAGAAACAATGAGATGAATATTTCATTCACTAAAAAAAAAAAAAGATATTCTGATCAAGCAAAATTATTATTGATCATTTGTCTTTCATTTGTCTTGCTAGATTGAGCAAGTGAGAAAAGTTGGAAACGTGGAGATGTTTTTACAAGGAAATGCTTTGACTTTTAATTCCTCAATACTTAGCCTCAGCATTAGCTGAAATTCAATTCCAGTGTGGGAGAGGGGAAGCATCTTAAATGTGAAATTTGGAGTAAAAGTAAATATTTTGTTTGATTCACAATGAGCATGAGGAGCAAGGAATTCACAGCACCCGTTACGCACACAACTGCAGTCAATGGCTCATCACCCTCACTGCCATGTCCTGTGCTGTTTCTTCACTCCAGTGCCGTGCAGGAATTGCAGGAATCTACCTTCAAAATTTGTTCCCAGGCTAGTATTTCAACACTGAATTATTACCATTTCAGTCCTACCCACACAGGCAGGAGAGTTTCACCCAGCATACACATTTCTGCTCTGAAAAGTTTCCTGTCTGTATTTTGGATAGCATGAAAGGGGAGAATAGTAAAAAAGGAGAATGAACACCAGTGGTGTTACACAATTTACATATTGATCATCAAATCATGATTTAAGTCACATTTGATGCTTATGGAGCACATCCACTTTTTCTAATTACATTAAACTTTGTGAATTTCCTTCTTGTGGCTCTTACTGAAGTGAGGTTTTCAGGAGTTTGGTTAAAAAACCCAAGCTATTTCTGTATGCATATCTTTGAAGCCTGGAAGAAGGTGTAGGAGCATAGGTATGAGAAGACAAAACAGGTTAAGAAGCAGTGGAACTGAAAGCGCAGGCTCTGCAAGACTGGATGAGAAAGGGCAAGTCTCTGATGAAGGCCAAGGGCGAGCTGGCTGATTCATATGTGTAGTAGGGATTGTTGAGCATCCCCTTGGTGTGAATAATATATAGAGATTGCAAGTTGTATCAGAATACGTATAAACAACAGGATTTAGGCTATGGATATGTATGGTACACGCAGATTTAGTTATAAAGTAATAAAATCCAAGGGCTTTTCCACTCCCAGCTGAGGAAGTTCCTGTATTTAATGAGCACCATTAAAACTGTTTTTAAAAGATAGTTTCCAGCCTCATGAAGAACAGCATTCTTTTCCTGTTCCTAACACTGTCTTGCAGCTAAAGGAAATGCCTGTGAGTCTGGATGCTCAGATGTAGTAAACAACCCTGCTTGATCCTAAACATGAAGGAACTTTTACTAAACAGAAAAAGAAGCACGCAATGTCCATTAGAGCACTCCATTGTAGTGCTGTTTCCTTCTACCCAGCCCTTGAGGACACAACCAAATTAGTACTCACTTGCACTGAAAACAAACAGCCAAAGTCTTTTCATTGCTGTCCTCCTCATATCTCCTTTGTTTCACCTCAAGGTGTTCTTCCTTGCAAGCTCTAGGTGGCCAGGTAAGTAATTGGCTTTAGCTGAAGGGCTGCTTCACAAGTTCCTTTCCTCAGTCTCTATATTGCTTCTCTGGCCTGCCACTCCCCTCACAGGCAGAACAACAAGCCAGATGACCAATAAGCTTTGACAGTGCTTGCTGCTCTCTGCCCCTAGGCAGAGAACCCACTTGTGAACTTTCTTCCCCACTTGTGAACTTTCTTCCCCAATTAAACTGCCTTTTCCAGTTTATCCTAACACGCAGGTATGCAAAGCAAGAAAAGAGGCAAACTGAAGAGTGCGGTGACTGGGAGTGCACAAAACAACAATTGAAGTAATGGGAGGTGATGATACGGAACTGGGGGAGGATAAGCTTCCTTCACCTCAAATGTTTATGAAGGAAGCCTAGGGCCAGAGTTACAAAGGTATTGGAGTGTTTCACAATGCAGGCAGCTTCCCCCATCCAGGCTTTAAGGAACTGAGGTGCCTAATTCCACTTACTTTAATACCTGTAAGAATGTATAATTTATGATAATTTGCTGACTAATGGGTTATCTAAATAGAAGGGAGATGCAACTCAGGCAGGTTCCTTTGTCTACCATTCAACTGTCCCACTGTGTGGCTTGTGTAACAGCCATAGGTATCAAAAGTCTTGTCTGCCTTTCCACTGAAGAAGGCTGTTAGATAAACCTGATGAATGGCTCATAGCATGCATATACCCACTGTGTACCTACTATATACTCAGGGGTGCGCAGTGCAAGTCCAGCCGCTGCTCACGTGTTCTGGATGGGCACTTGGAAATCACAAATAACTGCTACTATAATTGACTGAAGAATAAAAGGGGGACTGATGGCAGCTCAGGCAAACATCTGACATTACATTTAATTGAGTACATCGGGCTAGCATGTCTTTTAAACTCTTCACCTCCAATAGGCAGCAAGGGCTGTCTCCATCTGGGATAGTCCTCTATGCTCTATTTCTAGCCATTTGGGAGACAGTCACTTTTAGGGTCTGAGCGATCATTTAGGCATCTTGGATGGGGACTTCATGTCTTTGGACATCATTTTCAGATTAAATTGATCATACTCATAATGCAGTGATAATACTGATGACCTCGGTATTGATTTTTGAAGGAGGCTACCTCAAAAGTGGGTGGCTATGCTGGTTATCTGACTGTAGTCCAAGAAAGTGGATGTAGATCTTGATCTTGTGCTGACCCCATACTTGCATGGTAAACCTTTCAGAAGCCATGCTAAAGACTGTCTTTTCATCTGTGTGGCAGTTGTTCAAAACACCTCCAAGACAATGAAATTTTAGAGTAGCTGGAAATCAAATCCCTCTGATAGAAAGGACTATCTACACTCCTGTGTTTGATACATAACCTCAGTTCTCTTCAAACAAACTGTTAGCACAAGGCAAATTAAAGCATGTGTGAGTACAGAAACTGTATTCCTTGGCAATCTTTCAAAGGAAAAGAATCCATCCTGCTGTATGTGTACATCTTTGATACGCTGCATTACAAGGCAAGTGCAGGGTCCTCCACTTCGGGAGGAGGAATCCCAAGTACCAGTACAGGCTGGGGGCTGACCTACTAGAGAGCAGGTCATCTGAGAAGGACCTGGGGGAATATTGGTGGGTGATCAGTTGACTATTGAGCCAGCAGTGTGCCCTTGTGGCCAGGAGGGCAAACAGGATCCTGGGGTGCCTCGGGAGGAGTGTGTCCAACAGGTCGAGGGAAGTGATCCTTCCCCTCTACTCAACCCTTGTGAGGCACCACCGGAAGTATTGTGTTCACTTCTGGGCTCCTCAGTACAAGAAAGACAAGGAGCTACCGGAGAGGGTCCGGTGGAGGCCACAAGGATGATCAGGGGTCTGGAGCATCTCTCCTATGAGGAGAGATTGTGGGAGCTGGGCACGGTTAGTCTGGAGGAGACTGAGATCTCATTAATGCAGATAAATATCTTGGAAGTGGGTGCCAGGAGGAGGGTGCCAGTCTCTTCATTGGTGCCCAGGGACAAGATGAGGAGCAATGGCCAGAAACTAAAACGCAAGAAGTTTCATCTCAACGTGAGGAAGAACTTCTTCACGTTAAGGGTGGCAGAGCACTGGAACAGGCTGCCAAGGGGGGGCGTGGAGTCATCCTCTCTGGAGACATCCCAAACCTGCCTGGATGCTTTCCTGTGTAACCTGCTCTGGGTGGCCCTGCCTTGGCAGGGGGTTGGACTGGATGATCTCCAGAGGGCCCTTCCAACCCCAGTGATTCTGTGATTAGGAGATGGCAAGGACCCTGCAACGAGAGGAGAGCCTTCTTCCGAAAACAGCTTGCTAACCTGTAAATGCTAACCACAAATCACTTAAGATGTAAACAGAACCGGAGCAAGGCCAGTAGTCTCCTTTCTCCTCTTTGGAGCCTGAAAGGATGAGGTTCCTCACAAGGATGGGTTTCTTAAATTTTTACCTCCTTTAAAGACTTTAAGCTTTTTATGACTTTATCCCACAGTCTCCAGGGAGAGGCTGTGGGATCTTTCGGTTTCACTCTTTCAATTTTGTTTCTGTGTAATATTTTAACTGAATCTGATGAACAGAGATAGTGACAGAAATGCCATCACTGTACACCGTACTTCCCTCTGTTAATTCCCAGTTCTCTACATAACAGCTTTGAATATTCACCAAGAGAGCTTGGTTACAGTCCCTGATAGACTCTACCAACTCGGTAAAATTGCTGTTATCCTTTTCACAGAAATAAGACTTTCATTATCATTTATACAACATCTCTTCCCTCTCTTCTCCACAATAATTTCAAAACCCACTTGACCAATTTTAGCTAAACTTGTCAGACAGATCATAATCTTAAAGATGGGAAGTTCCTTTGTCTCATAAAAATCAGCAATCCCAATCAGTTGGGAAAAAAGAGAAAGCTAAATTAATGGTACTTCTTAGGCATTGGTCATTGTTTTCCATCCCAAGAATCCATGGTTGCACAGCTGATGCACCTGACCATGGTCTGTCTCATCTTTTGCACAGCCAGGCAGGTAGGCACAGTGAGCAGGTACAGGGGCCAGAGCTGTGGCTCCACGAGGGGTGTTTATCGTGCTGGGGCAACTGGACTGCAGGACACGTCCATTGGAAACCAGGCTTTTTAATCCCACTGCTTGTGGAAATGCATGGTATTTAGTGTGTTTCCTTAACTTGCCAGCACCTTGCCAGTAAAAACCCACAACAGGGAGAATGTGCAGAGTTAAGCTGAAAACAGTGCATATAGAGTTCCTCAAATACCTAAAGCAGGTCTGAGTTTAGTAAACTGTCTTAATACCAGCAATGCAGATTAAGCACTGCACGTTAACCCTGAAACAAATGCACTGTTTTCACATAAGTTTGTCATTTAACTCTAAAAGTAACAAGGCGCCTCCTCTCCAAGCATATTGGCATGTGTCTAGTTCCACTGTGCTAGGGAGGAGGGACAGGCACTGGACCGCACCTCACAGTCCGTAGCTTGGACAGGCTGCCTTAACCTGGTGTCTGTGTAGAAATACTGATGTGGAAATGCTTCACAGCGGGAACAATTTTACCCTGGCTCTATCAGCCACTCAGCTGCATTACAAATAAGTTGGTGCTGAGATTGCGTTCTGTTTGTTTGGAGACTGAGCTAAATAAGCCTGGTTTCCTAGGTATCATAGAGAGCATATGCTTCAGCACCTGATACTTACATAAATCTGATATTAAGACACTTGTTTAGATGCACTTTATTTATTGCTTTTGTTAGTTTTGTTGGCTTTGCCATGGTCCTAATTTTGCTAACACAAGCCTGTGTCTTAGCATAGGCCGACACATATCGACTTCTTCAACACTCACCCATGGGCAATGCAAACCCTTAAACTCACTTTTTTGCTGATGGCAGCAGATCTGGGGAGTCTTTTTGCTCTATATAGGATTTTTTTAGCTTATTTAGATGAAAGTGTCATTGACATGAAAAGCTTTAATGTGAAACTAGGATGGCTTCATTGTCTTTCCAAAAATACATACTAAGATAAGGCTTTCTTATAAAAGCCTATGAAGATTAATGTGTAGGTAGCATAGTGCTAATACTAAATGATAGTAACTCCTGTTGAGACTGAGAAAGAGGAACCTTCAATCAAGTTCCCATCATTCCCACCTAAGAAGACAGCATCTGGCCACATTCAGTTTGGGTTCATCCGTGAACGGATATATTAATCACAGATGCCCAACCACTTGCAGCTTGTTACTTTTGGCTATGTTTGCATGTGCACACGTACATTAATTAGCAAAGATTTCCAGCATCCTTGCCTCTGTTCTGCATGGTCATCTTGTACTGGGGGCTCCAGAGCTGGATGTGGTGCTGCAGGTGAGATCTCACGAGAGCAGAGTAGAGGGGGAGAATCACCTCCCTCGACGTGCTGGTCGCACTCCTTTTGATGCAGCCCAGCACACGGTTGGCTTTCTGGGCTGCAAAGCATGTTGCTGGTTCACATCCAGCTTTTCATCCACCCGTATCCTCAGTCCTTCTGTGCAGGTCTGCTCTCAATCCCTTCATCCCCCAGCCTGCACTGCTATTGGGGATTGCCCTGACACAGGTGCAGGACCTTGTACTTGCCTTTGTTGAACCTCATGAGGCTCACATGGGTCCACTCCTCAAGCCTGTCCATGTTATCCCGGATGGCATCCCTTCCCTCTACTAGATCAACTGCGTCACTAAGCTTGGTGTCATCCACAAAATTTCCGAGGGTGCACACAGTCCCGCTATGTCATTAATAAATATATCGAACAGTATTGGCCCCCGTGCAGAAACCTGAGGGACACCGCTTGTTAGTGATCTGCATTTGGACACTGAGCTGTTGACTGTGACTGGATGCAGCCATCCAGCCAGTTCATTAGCCGTTGAATTGTCCATCCAACAAATCCAGCTCTCTCCAAATTAGAGGCAAGAATGTTGTGGGGAG